GAGATTTGAACCGCTGACCTGCTGATCTAGCAGTAGCCTGCAGTGCTGCATTTAACACACTGCGCCACCTTGGCTCTAAGCAGGAGGGAGGGAGTTATACATTAAGCAAATCCAATTTGGAGGTTTCATGTGCAGAAGCAGAAATGACCTGGAGCTTCATCTTTTTTGCTCAGGCCCCCTGACTGCTGATTTAACGTGCCTACAAAGTCACACCCTTATTTAAAAGTCTATGGTAAGAGTTTGACTATGGCCAAAAGGTTCCATCTTAATATTTGATGTCAAAGAGTAAAATTTGGGGAATGTCACAGGAATCTATAACTTAGAGAAGAGAAACTAACAGAAGCTTACATCTCCTAGCTTCCATATATTCAAGAAAATGGCAACGATGAAATCTAGCAATCTTTTTTAAAAAATTATCTTTTATTTGAATATAGGTTTTGGTAGGAAACAATAAGGAAAATTAAAATGGAATTTAAAAAAAATATCTAGTTAGTTTTTAATGGTCACAGGTAAGTCCTCTTCTGTGAAATTCCTTCTGTATTTTTCCTTCCTTTGTCCCATGCATTAAATATATCTTTAAAGTACTTTTCTAAGTATTATTTTTTGTCCATTATTTCAGTGTTGGAGAGCATTAATGCAATGTGAAAGAAGGGTTGCCATGGAAATACCTCATTATTGTTGAATTGGAAAATAATTACTCTGCCAAAAAAATCCCAGGTAACCTGTCAGTGCTTGAGTTAAGGATGACTAGGGCAACCTCAACTCTTTCTCTTAAAAATGGGGAATTTTGAAAATCATATTTTTGTATTTTTGTTATACTTTGGAGGGAGGGAGTTATACATACAATTTCATTCTGTGGCAAATATAGTATGTATCATTTTAATTGGGAATATATATCACTTTTGATTACACACACACATACACAAGCACACACAAAAACGCACACATATACAAACACTATACATACAACAGAAAAACCTCTGACCTAGAATGTTGAGTTGTAAATAAAAGCAATAAACACATGAAATGAGCAGAAATCAAGCAATTGTTCAACCCAATCCATTGTTAATTTAGATGTATATAATATACAAGGTGTTCCTCAAATCATAATGTGTAGGAATTTAGCATTTCAATAGTTGGTCACTTTAAAATGCTTTATTTAGTTTTATGTTTTATGTAATCCATTAAAAGTCTCTGATTGGCAGGGTACAAATGCGGACAATGAATAAATAGGTAATTCAATGATTGATTTTCTTTCAAAGGAATTCAAGAAGAATTTTATGCTATTTACTTGCTGAAAACATTAGGTTAAAATATATATTAATATGCAGAATAATCACAATTTTGTAAAAAAAAACAGTATATCTCAATATTTGTTAGCTAGTTTACATAGTTCTTCCCTTGTTTTTAACGTCAAGGGTAAACTCACAAGACTTAAGGGTAACTTAAACTTGATTTGAAAAGAAATATTTCAACTACATTTTGTGATAGAAAAGGACGGATGTCCGGTAGACACTATGTAGATGTCATTGCTCAATTGAAACAAATTAGCTAATTTGTATGATAACACGTATGTTGTTATTTCACTCTATCACATACACATAGGCATACAAATGTGCATAGGATAGTGTGCTGTAAACTAACACTAATTCAGTGTATTATATGCATTATATATCTTATTGGTTCTCCCTCATATGGAAGGAAGGAAGGAAGGAAGGAAGGAAGGAAGGAAGGAAGGAAGGAAGGAAGGAAGGAAGGATTTATTAATGTATCTGCAAAGCCTGTTTCTTACTTCTACCTGACCCAACTGCCTATGATTCTGAGATTTGTGTTCTGCGTGTATCTTTCTTGGGAAGTGATACTGGGTGCCAACATGTACAGAAATAGAGGATTATTGCCTGTTCTAGGGTAATATTTCTAGATATTACACCCTGTTTGAAGTGTTATTGCAATGTGGCATTTATTTTAGCATGATAAGTATGTCAGTTGAGGTCCATGGTATTTATCTTAAGCATTCTTTAATAGTCTCACGTGAATCAATATTTCACTAACTTGACAGCCTGAACTTTTGCTGTGTTGAAAATAGAAAATAGGATCACATTCATGAGCAGGGCTCATGTTCGAACAAAAAAGAGTGAAAATCTTTCTTCTTTTTTAATGTACTGTAAGTCTTGCTCAGGTGTTGTCTGACAAGGTGAAGCACAAATAATAAATTAGAGATGGAATTTATTGCATGCCTACATTTGATCATTTAATATACAATTATTCTTTAAAAATATTTGTTTGATATGCAATAGCAATAGCACTTAGACTTACAGTATATACCATTTCACAGTGTTTTACAGCCCTCTCTAAGTGGTTTTACAGAGTCAGCATATTGTCCCAACAATCTGGGTCCTCATTTTGCCAACCTCAGAAGGCTGGAAGGCTGAGTCAACCTTGAGCCTGGTGAGATTCGAACTGCCCAATTGCAGTCAGCCGGCAGTCAGCAGAAGTAGTCTGCAGTACTGCATTCTAACCACTGAACCACCAAGGCTCAGATGAGATTATAAGTAAAATGCAGGGCATTCTTAATTATTAATAAAGACACCCTGGATGTATGTGGGTCCTACAAGCCAAGAGATGCCCCTAAACTGTATGGTCCAGGTTTTATTCCTTGTTTATGCATGCTTATGCATACCCTAAGAAAAGCAGGTCTTTGATTGCACAGTCCTATCCAATGTCTTTAACTCCCTCTCCCAATGCAGAGGCCCCTTAATATCAGCAATATTTTAAAAGAATAATAATAAATTATGAAATACTGGGAATTGCAGGTTGAATACTGGGATGTGCAGAATGAAGTTGAATAATTATGGAAAATGAAATCCATTGTTACACCAATCATGTCTGAAACCCTCAGAGAGATATTTAAAAGAATTCCTCTATATTTGAGAATATAGGATTTATCAGACTTGGGCACCTGACTTTTCCAGAGTTCCGCCTGCTTGGAATTCACTATATTCTTAGATCCTACCTTAATAATTCTTAGCTCTTCATTAGAACCTTATTATCTACCAGGCTGTATATCTAACTGTAGATTACTGATAGATAGTAATTTCACTTTCTTGATATTTAGATAAGAATATATATTGTTTTTAAAATAGTAAAGTATACCTTTCCTGTTCAAAGAACATTTCTCTCTCTCTCAGGACAGTGACAACCTGTGGTGGGATGCCTTTGCGACAGAGTTTTTTGAAGATGATGCAACTTTAACACTTTCCTTTTGTTTGGAAGATGGACCAAAGCGATACAGTAAGGGAAATATATATTTTAATATTCCAGTGATGAAGTGAGGAGAGATATAAAGTCCTCCTTCAACTGTGGGTTTTCTTGATTATGAAACTCTGCTTCTGACCAAATTTAGAGGTTAAAGTAAAAATGAAATGATCCTTTCTAAGCATCCAGTCTGTATTTGAATGAGGAGAGTAAACTTCATATATGGCATTTATTTGGAAAGCTGAACTGGAGATTGATACAAATATTATGGGCAGGCAGATAATGTGAAAAGAAAGGCTCCTGGTCTTTCTGACACAAATAAAGAAGAAAAGCCTGTAAGTGGGAAGGAGGGGTCATAGTTTGTTTCCCAGAATATTTCCATGAGCCCAACTCTTTCTAAAAGAGAGTTTCAGTTGCAGAATTTTTATATTATACTGTGTAATCTTATGGTTCTTTTGCTGCATTCTCATCCAGTTCTCAAATAATGGCAAATTATGACTTGCTTGAAACAAAGGAAAAAGGATATCCCTGATGCAGTTAACTACACGAGTGTTTTATGCTTCTGAGTAGTTCTTCTGTTATGGTTTTCAAGAGTCAGTTCAAAAATTACTCATCGTATTAAAAAATAGGAACACTTTTGTATACTTATAAGGCCTTTTAGTCTTAAAGCAGGATTCCCTTTCAGCTTTTTTGTCCATTTGACATACCTGAAGCTTTTCCAGAATCACTTCCTGTCTGGGTTTCTGAAATGAAGGGAGATCCTTAGCAGACCTTAATCATTCAATTATTATTTACTGATATGACATGATTTGCTCCTGCCTTATGATAGGTCAGCCATCTCTACTTTTGAACATTTTCCTATTACATGGCAAAAGAAGGAGAATTATCACACATCACATAAATAACTTGTGAAGTTTATTCACACAAAACAGCCCCCAATTTGGAGATCTTTAAAAGAAATTTGAATCAATTCCTAGAGGAAGGTGTGTTGAGGGCTATCAGTTGTAGATTCCAGATCGGGGGTGGCATAGTTCAAAATATCAATTTTGAGAGAACAGTGGTGGGAAAAGGATACGTTTTCATCTCCTGCTTATGAACACCTAAGACATATCGGATTGTGAGAAATAGAGAAGGATCTTTGTCTCATGTCTTCTTATATTTGCTAGTATCTAGAATAACATTTCTCGACTTCCTGTGGTGATGTCATCATGCTGGAATTGAGGAACGGCAGCTCCNGATAGATAGATAGATAGATAGATAGATAGATAGATAGATAGATAGATAGATAGATAGATAGATGATCTCCTTCTTGAGCAGGGGGTTGGTCTAGATGACCTACAAGGCCCCTTCCAACTCCGTATGTTCTGCTATTGAGTTCAGAGTAGCCTTGCTCTCCTGCAGAGACTTCCGTGCTTTGAAGCTGTGAAATTTATTTATTTACACGTAGTCCTTGACTTACAACAATTCATTTAGTGACCGCTCAAAGTGACGAGGCACTGAACGAAAGGAACTTAGGGCCGTTTTTTCCCCCCACAGTCACGTGATTGAAATTCGGACGCTTGGCCACTGGCTCATATTTATGACGGCCGTAATATCCCAGAGATCACACAATCCCCTTTTTTTTGCGACCTCCTAGCGCGCAACGTGGAAGGGCTGAGGCTTTGATGCAACTGATGGCAATGCAAAGCGAGCTTTGTGGGGAGGGGCAAAGCCCGTGTAGTTTGCGGAGAGTTTCCACTCTCCTCCGAGCGCTTCCCGGATGGCAAGTTGTCCGTCGTAGCCGTCACTTGTTGTTTGTTTCCTTCTCCCCCTTTCTAGGATCATCCCGGACGTGTCTGATCTGAAAATAAAGCGAGACAAAATTTCCCGGCAGGACGTGAGCTTCATGAAGAAGGTAAATCCCCAGTTGAAGAGGCTTCCATTCAATCCAGTCTCCAAACGTGGCCCCTTTAAGATGTGTGGACTTCAACTGGGGGATTCTGGGAGTTGAAGTCCACCCGTCTTAAAGGGGCCACGTTTGGAGATCTAGCAGATTAAGTATCACGGGTCAAAAGGGGCGGGGTGTGTGTGTGTGTGTCAGCTGGTGGGGAATGGAGGATGGGCCTTTTCTGCAGTGGCTCCCCTGTGGCCCCTTTGGGAGGCTATAAAATCCCTGCCTGTTCCCCCAATCCTGGGGCCCCGGATGCATCGCCTGCCTTCACTGTTAACTGGCCAGATGTCTTGGCTGCTGTGTGCATTTATTTGGGGTATTTTTAAAAATTGTTTCTCGATGCTTTTTATTGCTTTAATGGTTTTTATACTTTGGGGATTGTAAGCTGCCCTTATTGTCATTGAGTGAGATCAGTGGCTGTAGAAAAAGGGAGGGAGAGGGAGAAAAGGGAGGAATGGAGACAGGGTGGGAAGGAAGGAAGGAAGGAAGGAAAGGAGAGAGGGAGGAAGAAGGAAGAAGAGGGAAGGAAAGAGGAAAGGGGGAGAGAGGAAGGGAGGAGAGGAGGGAGGAATTGAGGCAGTGTGAAGGAAGGAAGGAAAGAAGAAAGGAAGGAAGGAAGGAAGGAAGGAAAGGAGAGAGGGAGGAAGAAGGAAGAAGAGGGAAGGAAAGAGGAAAGGGGGAGAGAGGAGGGGAGGGGAGGGGGGAGGAATTGAGGCAGTGTGAAGGAAGGAAGGAAAGAAGAAAGGAAGGAAGGAAGGAAGGAAGGGGGAGAAATGGAAGGGAGTGAAAGAAGGAAGGGAGGGAGGAATTGAGGCAGAGTGTGAAGTAAGGAAGGAAGGAAGGAAAGGAGAGAGGGAGGAAGAAGGAAGAAGAGGGAAGGAAAGAGGAAAGGG